ATATTGATTCAGTACCCCTAATAGATGACATTCGATATCCCTACTAGATGACATTCGATATTGATTTAATATCCCTAATAGATGACATTCGATATTGATTCGGTACCCCTAATAGATGACATTCGATATCAATACTAGATGATATTCGATATCCATTTGATATTAATACTAGATGGCATTCAATATCCCTACTATATGGTATATACTATATGGTATACATGCTGTTCAGGGTTTTGTGGAAATAGTGGCTATAGGTAATACAAACAGATAACAGAAAAAAAAAGTTTTGGCCGGTTTTGTACATTTAGTCCGCCGTACCAAAGTTATCCAAGATCAACGTGACATCCTGACTCAACTTGTCATCCTCCCCGGCCTTGGTCACGGTAAAGTCCAACGACCTAAGGTCTGTAAATCCCTCAGAATCCACTCTCTGCAACCGGGGCGTGCTAGTGTACTTCGCCGTCTGGATCTTCGGAATCCCCAGATCGTTGTTCTGTGTGCCCTCGAACAAGACCGTACAGTTAACGGGCACCGTCTTGCCTTTCTGGTCCGTCACGCAGGCAAAGGAGATCTTCTTGGCTCGAAGGTATCCGCCGTCGGAGCCTTGCGGATGGAACCGAGGAACGTCCCAGGCGGCTTTAGAGCGAGGGCCCAAACATTGGGGTTCTTCTTGGGTCTGTAGAGGGTTGGGGCTACTTGAGCGCGACGAGCCACTGTGAATTGGTCGCCGTATGAGAGGCCCTTGAAGGGATTGGGGTTGACGGGGCCGGGTTCAAGGAGTCATACTACCTTGTCAGCCATCATAAGGTGCCGTGGCAAGGGCAAAGACACTAACGCCAACGAAATAGCTCTAAGAAGTTGCGCAAGCGAGAGTAGACAAGGCTGCGAGGATTGCGAGCTTCATTGTCGGCAATGGATTTGGATGCTGATCTCCGAGAGTGTCAACGCTTTGAGTTTATACAGTTTAGAATGATCCAGGAACCTCTCTGAGTCCAGCGAGGGTATTTATGTACAGAGAACAAGTGTCCCTAGGTGTCCAGGTCACATTCTGCCTGCTGAGTATATGTCTCCCGTCCTGTGACTGATCTGACTGACTTGTCAGTACCACAATGATAGCACCGTCGATTATCTACATAGGACTCACACTTGGCGCATCCATTGAAGATCTCCGGTCAATAAATCAGCGATCTGCAGACAGACCAAGAATGATTGGCTCGTCACAAGGGTGATCTCTGGACATACATGCCTTATACAGCACAATCAAGGAGAGACAACAAAGCAGGAGAGCTCAGTAAAAGCAATAATGCAGAAGACTCAGTGACGGAATGCATTGACTCAAAGTCTCAACATAAGGAATATCCGACCTGATGTATCAGCCGCTTCATTCACCCGCAGTCGATTCCTCGTTCAAACAGCCTCGTTGACGACTTGTGCATGTTCAGTGTTGCAAGGAGAACATACTGAATGCGCTGATGAGGTAGACTCGTATAGTGCAGATCTGGCTACGAACAAGTGGTTCGATAGCCATCGAGGATCTGAGTAGAGAAGATGCTTCTTGCTGATTGACTTCCGAAAGCACTATGGGTTCAATCCGTAGGGTTGGTTCACGATCCAACGGACCAACAGCCGTCTGGTCGAGCAAGCCCCGGCGGAGAAGATACTGGTTATCGAAAGATTGATCATCCTTGGACAAGGTCGTAGCAGTGCAGTGCAAAGGAGATGTTGACAAAGGGGAGAGCTAAGCAGTAAATAATGATTTGCGCCATTCAGTCTAATATTGTGTCAAAGTCCAAGATACCAACAACATAAATAGCAGAGATATTTCCATGAAATATCAAAGGAGATTACCACCCAGGAAAAAAAACAACTCCAACAGACCAAAGAAAGATGTCACGTAGACCACCAAGGAGACAGGAGCACCAGGAGACCTGAAGAAAGTAGGGTATCACCCAGTCCCACCATACTAGACTCCGCGCCCGTACAACTCCGACCCTGAGGTTTTCTTCTAAATTACAAAAGGCCGGCCCAATGTAAGAAAGAAATCACAAAACACACATCAGTAAGCATGACATGACGCTCATCTTCTCGTCGCAAAAAGGCAGAGACCCAAAAGGAAGCTGCCTTGATTAATGTCACATTGTCGATTAGGGATATCCAGATGCCTGAGAGTTGATCCAGTGTTCGAATTCGCCATTGGAAGCATCAAAACTGGTCTCGTTGTTGGCAGAATCCCAAGTATCGCGGCTATCCCCTAGAGTCTGCATGCTTTGATGATAGGTGGCGCCGACATGGTATGTGGATGGCAGCGGCGAGGGAACAGGGACATAGCAGTTGCTCGTCGGGATTTCTTGCCAGATTGCATAGTGTGAGTGGTTGTACATCGGATGCTGACTCGAGTGGTCGCTCAATGACAGCAACTGAGGATCCAGCTGACCATCGGGTCCAGTTCCAGGGGTGTTCTGGGGCTGAAGAAGGTCGTGGTGGGCGGCTCCAGGCAGCCCAGCCAGCGCCGTCGACGAGGTGAACTGGATATCCTGGAGTCCAGCATGCTTGAATCGAGGATCTTCAGCAGGCGGGCCCATCAGGTTCTGATGCATTGACTGCTGGAGGTATGAAGAGGGCTTGGGAGCTGACAGCATGTCTTTGCTGGGATGACTGGTCTGCCACGATGAACCATAATATGTTGTGGTGGGCAGCCCATGCTCGGGAAAGTCGAAGGGTGTTGAGTCGCGGCTGCCCCAGCCATTGCTCTCGACCTCGGACGGGCCCATGGCACGAACTTGGAGGAACGCCGGGCTAGATCCAGAGGTCATCTCGCCACCATCTACGGTCAGCTGGTCGTCATCCGTTTCAGATCGTTTCTTCTTTTCCTTCGACGGAGAGAACTTGTACCCTGGATGGGCTTTGAGATGATTGGCCTTTTCGACGTTCGCTAGAAACTCGTACTTCTCGCGGATCTCTGGCGTTTCGATGCGCCAGCTGTCGCCTGCGACCTCTGAAACGACTTGGTGGTTATTCTGTGCAAACCACTCCTTTGTCCGCTCGGCGTATGCAGACCGGTAGAGCATGAACGAGTTCATGGGTCTGGCGACTTTGCCATTCTTTTTGGCAACCTCCGCGTGGCGCACCTCCTTGGGCCGATGAACCCAGCTGTCCATGTCTCTGAGGGGAACATGTGTCATATGCTTGGTAACTTCACTTAAGGGACCAGGTATCTTAGGTTTCGATTCCCGATTGCTCGCCTTCTTGGCTCTGCGCCTAATTCTGGGGGGTTTAGCCACTCTTACTTTCCCTGGGGAAAGCTTCAAGGCGGATGGCCAGCGAGGAGGAGTCGCTTCTAATCTGCTAGGAACAACTCCATCGTCCGCGGCAGGAGGCGGAGTATCGATCTGAATACCTGAGGGTAGCGTCTGCCGTTCGTTAGCACATGCTTGGCTAGCTAAACGGGTCATTGCGAAAGGGAGCGGGGACCCTACCGAATGCTGAAGTAGTAGAGGTGTCGAGTACTCGTGTTGGGAGACATATCGCGGTGACGACGAAGGGCCATAGGTCTGATCAACAGTCAGTAGGTAACCAACAAGCTGGAAAAGGCTTCCAACTCACCATCGCTTGTGGCTTAAGCTCGTTGTAGGAAGCTTCAGCGCTGCAGGGTAAGCTAGATGTGACAAAGGTGCTCTGGGAGCAATACAGCGAGTTGAGCATGCCGCACTGTTCAGAAGCGGGATCGCCATCTGTCGACTGAGGGGGAGAAGGAGGTTGGATGAACCTCGCAGCTGCAGCTGCAGCGGCCATTGTGGTAGCAGATCAGAGGTGACGATGTTATAGAGATGTTGGGAGGAAAGGTCGCGCGATAGTGGAAATATGCGTCTTTAGGACGCAGTGGGAGTGGTTGTAGGACTTCCGTCAGCAGATCAGATGCTTGAAAGGAGATCTGGAGATTTCTCCTTTCTGACTCTTGTGTGGAGGCTGAGACAGTCCGATTGTGAAAATGATACCCCTTGACTTGGACAAGCGGGGGAACCAATCTGGCGAGCCGGAGAGAGAGAGACAACCGAGAAGGTGAATGGAATGACAAGAACTTTATGATTAGGTAGAGGATGCTTGAGAGGCAAGTTGAGCATTTGAGGCTCCAGTGAATTGATGCCCCACAGCAACAGAGACCGCGACGAGAAGATGGCGCGCTGTACAAGCCAGCGTTGTTCACTGTTGTTTGGAGACGGGTACCAGAAGGAGACGAAGCGGTAGAAGAGTACCACTGGAAATCAGTGCTCAAGAGTAGAAGTAGGCGGGATAGGTGGGACCAAGAAAAAGAGAAGAGGAAGGATAGAGGACGGGTATGAAGGATATTTTATGAAAAATATTCAGCAAACAGAATGGAAGGAGGGATCAATTGGAAGAGAGGACTGATTGATTGACAGACTGATTGATCAGGGTATGGGGATGTGAACGAGATGGTGAATCTCAAGAGCCCCGTCGATCTTTTTTAATATTTTAATGCCTGACGGTGGGTAATAGTGGAGAGTATTATGGTTCTTCCATGCATCATTATTGCAGACCTGGAGGGCCAGACAGACACCACAGACATCAGTCAGTCAGGAACTCCTCTCTTGCTGCTGCACTCCGGTGGGCTGAGGCCCTGAGTCAATGGCAGTGTTGCGCTTGCTGGGAAAATCAGACCAAAAATGCTCCGGGCGCTGTCTTTGTTCCACTGTCCTGGGACAAGAGGAGACCGGGGTTTGCCATTAATATTATCACCTATTCTTTCTGGTTTGCCCTTTGAAGGCTTGAACTAACCATACGCCAGTGGATTCTCCTCCCAAAGAATCAAAACAAGGAAAAAAAAAGTTAGAAAATAATAATAATTATTATAATAAAAGAGACAGAGAGAGAGCAACTGCGCCCCTCCTTTGTGCCAATTCTAGATGCAGATGCTTTGAACTGCTTCTAGATCCCTTGTTAGTGAATCAGTATGGGACTGAGTGGCTAGAGTCAGTGTGGATGGAACTATCCATGGGTCATGATTTGATAGAAATTGAAATATTCAAGGGAAAAAGAGGGGAAAGATTCAAAGAACAATCTAATTTCAGACTCAAAAGACATAATTCTGTTCTGAATACTTTTCTGTCTATCTATGTTGGACTGTTCAATGTTCAGGCATTATCACGCATGACGGGGGAAGATCCCTCATATGGCTCTAGCTCCTTGTTTACCTGTCATAGAAACTGTTAAGGTAATAAATGCAACGTCTTTTAATTACCTTAGCTTTAGGAAAGTTACAGCACTTTAGTAATGGATCTATCAGTCTCGAGACGGGATCAGAGGAGAGAAAAACGACAGGGAAAGGGGAAATAAAAAAGGAAAAAAGACACCAAAAAAAGAAAACAGCTTCAAGTTGACTGGTAGATCCTTACATAAACCTACAGTAGATGTCGTCAATACTTCACTATCCCGAATTGTCAATGGTCAGTCGTAGAGTTTGAGCCATAGTACATACCGCGCACTAACTATCTCTCCACGAACTTGACTTACGATCCAAAGTGATAACGTGAGACACTACGGAGTATATACATGACAAATCTAGACTATATGTATGATACAGGGTCTCATGATGTGCTTAGGAGGGAAAGATATCTCCACTCTCCGCGATGAGACTCAGAGTACCCAAGGTATGCACTGATCATGATATCAGAAGCGACGTTCCATGGGTCTGAGGATATAAGACTGCATGTCATTGGAGTTCGGGGGTGGGTATTTCAAATATAGGTAACATGAGGCGCTTATTGTACGGTTTGTACCTTCTTCCTAGCTATATAGAATCCCTCCCATCGAAAAGGTATATCGATTCCGGACCTACTCCGTATGGTGAAGAGACATCAGGACTCGCCCACGGAACTGCACGTTTTCCACATGGCTTTTTGGGACCTTTGTGACTTCCAGCAAATCATCCAATCTGAACTATATGTAATAATGTACGTATTCTCAAGAGGACCATGGACATTTCCCAGTAGTCAACCTAAATCGCGGCGGAATATGGGGAACTAGAGATCATCGATCGCCGTCGGGTCCGCCATTTCTAGGAGAGGTATCTACCTGTATGTAGACGTCCTGAGTGGGAAACGGAGTTGCCGCTAATGTTGTCATTGATACGGTAGGTAGCTGGTTCGGGTGCAAGCAGATCCGTGTTTGGAGACGGCCCATAGTCGAACCAAACGGCGAGCATGGCTCCAATAGGACGGGGTTTAATTCAACTGGTTCTTGCGGGGAGCTCGATGCTCAGGACGGGAGTGACAGGACCTCGTTCAGAGGTCAACATGTAGAATCCCTCAGTATCAACCCTCTCTTCCTTTCTCTAACTTTTCCTTTTCCCTCTCAGTCCATCCTCACCTGAAGTCTGCCTTATGTTGCAATTCGTAAATGCCGGCCGGTAGTAGGACTAGGCATTATTTAATTAGTGGTGGGCTGTATGACAATTAAGTTACCTCCCTGCCACGAGCGACTCATTGGTGCTTATTGTTGGGTGGGCCAAATTTGCGCCGCACTAGCACCGCTGGCTCTAGCAGATCGCCCAATCTTACCTTACTAGCGTGGATGTTTGTAAAAAAAAGTGTCAAAGACAGGTAAGGTCTCGTACCTTATGGCCAAAAATACCGGTAGCCTGACGAACTGCTTCCTTATATTCATCTTCCCTTGCGTCTATAATGTTAGGATTTATGCATGTTACCCTTGAGGATCCCAGATCGATGTGCCTAAATGGCTTGCTATCCTTGCCATCAGGTTCCCTACACTTGGACTCCTTTCAGTCACGTGGTGACTAGGCCATATGCAGCAGGAACAAATAAGCCCATAGCCTACCTTGAGGAAGAACTTGGCCGGATTCTGTACGCAAGTCGCATACAATGGATTATGACCATGCGGTACTTTACCTACCTGCCAGAATTGTCATTCCTTGATCTGCTTGTGGAAAGGACAAGTTGATAGTACATATCCTTGCAGCTATTGGACCGTGCAGCAAGCCCTAAGCATGTGGCTGTCATGTGTCAACCTGAAAGCGGTAACGGTACCTAGGGTGGATACCAGTCACGAATCGACGTCCCGAATGGTCTTGGGGAAAGTCTTACACACTCTTCTGCTTCATCCATCTTAATTGATCCTTTTGTTGATTGTCCACCACATCAGAGGAAGCAGGCGTACTGTGGAGTGGAGGCTTGCATGGATCCATGATCTGCGGGCCTGCGGCTGTCAAGTGGGCTGCTAGCCTGCTGCTAGCCTGCTGCTGCTGCTGATAGGCTTGGAAAGGCCCCATATGGCTTGCGCAGGAACCGGAGTGGCCCTGCATCGGTTCTTTGTTCGAGCTTAATCTATGGACACAAGAACCTCTGGCCTTTGACAGTGGGTATCAGCCCTCGACTCGAGATACCCCAGCAACCTGAAGCACTTGTTTTCTAATTCGGTCTTATGTGGATGCAGTTCGTGTTCGCTATTTTTGCACATGGCGTTCATGGATTATTGTGGGCAGGGCTGGTTTCATCAAGGATCTTTGCCTCAGAATGAAAGCACTCATTGTTGAGGTATCTTGCAAGTTTCAGAGTGGTTCATGACTCCTGCAGGGACGCTTTGACCGCTTGAGTTCATGTCAGCCCCGTTGGTGTCACCATGCAGGTCCTTGGGCAAAGCCTCCTCCAAATGGAAGAGGGTTGGCAGCAAGGATGATCTGTTAGGACAATCTCGACATCCCCGGGTGTCCGACAAGCTTCTGGAATATCACTAGATCTGCGCTAAGAAGCGAGCCTTTCCCATTCCGTTGAGTGTAGTATTTCGAGGACAGTAGACAGAGCAAAGCCTCGATGGTCTGGTGACAGGGGCCTGTCAAGTTGATGGTCTCGACCATGGCGTTGATCACCACATCTTGGTTTGTTGCACCCTGAATGGCTTAATGGCCTTTCCTCACCAAATCCGGCGAACCTAATAATAATCGCGTTTCAGGTTCGAAGACTGCGCCTCTTCTCTCCAAACATTCAACATTGAATATATTTTTGAAACAAAGTTGTGAGGAACAGGATTCCATTTACGGGGCAAATGGGAAAACCTGGGAACGAGCCCCGAAAAGCTCCTTCCAAAAGTCGCCGATCAAATGTCTCCGAGAACATGGCAGGATCAGCTTTCTGGAAGAGTCAACAATCGGCTAAGGACTCAGGATTTCATGATAAGGTAGATTGCACTATCAGGAATGCAGAGCAAGCGGACATCAGAGATACTGCCAGTTTTCCTTCGTCTTCTTTGGTCTCAGATATTTTTCTGGAATATCCCTTAACTTAGAAGATTAAGAGTTGTCAAAAAGCCGATCAATGGACACAAGCCAACGGCCGACAAGGATCTGTAGTCGGGATTGCCAACAGGATGCCTGCTATCGTCCAGGGACTCCAATCATATGCCATCCTCCGTCAGGCACAGCAAACTGAGAGACCGGTAGAGGAGTAGGTATTCAACGGACAACACCCCACATGATCAACCGCATTATCTGTTTCTGTACTAGCTATCACACTTTTGCTTCTGCATGCCTTCTGGTCAAACTTTTCACTTGAGCGACATGTGTCAAGTATGGAAGTGAGAGACGCAAGAAGGTCTGTTTGGGACTAAGTCCTTTTGGCATACTGCTTCCATGGTCTTAAGTCTCAACCTCACGGCAAGCGTCTATCGCCGAGCAAACCCATTGCGAACTGCGCTATTCATGGCTCGATTGGAAATAAGGTGCAGGGTGGCTGCGATCAACAAAAACGTGGCCTCCCAGAAAC